GGGGAGGGGGCGCTCGAAGGAGGCGGGGGGGGGGGGGCATGAAATATAGGGGTGGCCTGGGGTGCAGGGGGTATGGTCCAAGCTATGGACACAAGGTGGGCATGGAGGCAGGACACATGGGATTGACAAGGTGGGGTTTGGAATGGAGTGGGAGAAAAATAAGGTTGCTAATTTTGGTTGGATGTATTCCTGGGGATTTCATCTTTCATTACAGATTACTCTTTAATGCTTGGAGAGTCCAGGCTCAAGGTTGGTAACCCTAGAGAGAAATGGGATCCGGAGAATAAAACATAAGAATGGCCATACTGGGTCAGACGAAAGTTCCATCTAGCCCAATATCCTGTCTTGTGGCAGTGGCCAATGCCAGATGCCCCAGAGACCATGAATAGAACAGATAATCATCAAGTGATCCCCCATGCTCATTCCAAACTTTTGACAAACAGAAACTAGGGATGTCATTGCTGCTCTTTTTTGAACCTAGTTATGGTCTTGGCCTTCCTAGCCTCTGGCAGAGAATTCCACAGGTTGACTGTTGTGTGAAAAGTACTTCCTTTTGTTTGTTTTAAACTTGCTACCTATTAATTTCATTTGGTCATCCCTGGTCCTTGTGTTATGGGAAGCAGTAAATAAACTCTTCTATATTCACTTTTTCCATACTAGTTGTGATTTTATAGACCACTATCTCATTCCCCCACCTCCTCTTAGTTGTCTCTTTTCAAAGCTGAAAAGTCCTGGTTGTATTAATCTTCCTTATATGGCAGCCATTCCATATGCTAATCATTTATGTTGCCCTTTTCTGAACTTTCAATGCCAAGATATGTTTTTTGATATGAAGGTGACCACATCTGCAGATAGTATTCAAGATGTGGGCATACCAGAGACTACACTCTACCGTTTTCATCTCTGAGGGGCTTGAGGCTCCTGCCAGTAGCACTCTCACGAGTCCAGTTTTGAGGCCATCTCTGGGAAGTCTCTTCCTAGAGGGGATGTTACATTTTGATTAATCAGTTAATCAAGTAGTGGATGGAATTTCCATCGACTACTCGATTAGTCGATAAGGGAGGCGTTCACTATCCCGCTGCGCCTCTCCTTTTGAAATGTACAGGAACCGCAGGCAGCACTTATCGATTAGTCGATAAGGGAGGCGTTCACGATCCTGCTGCGCCTCTCCTTTTGAAATGTATAAGTGTTGCCTGCGGTTCCTGTACATTTCAAAGGAAAAAACCCAGTGTGTTCCCGTTGCCTCTCTCCCTTTAAAATGTACAAGAGCCGCCCGTGGCTCCTGCACATTCCAAAGGGAGAGACCCAGCGGGAGCCTGCACCAACAATGACTTAAGCAGTCCCTGCTGGTGTGGGTTCCCCTCTGTGCTTCTTCCTTTGAAATGTACAAGAGCTGCAGGTGACTCTTGTACATTTCAAAATGGAGAAGAGCAGCAGTTGGGACTGGCACTAGTGGGACTGTTTCAATCCCTGCTCACACTGCTTCCCCACTGCCCTCTGCCCCCCATGGAGACGGTGCTGGGGGGAGCTGGCTTTTAAAGTGGCTCTCCCCAGCACCTGCTCCTGCCCCTTACTGCCTCTCTCTGACAGAGGCAGCAAGGGGGGGGGGGGGAAGCAACTAGTCGAGTTCCTGCTCGAGACTACCCGATAAGCATATGGTTATCAAGTAGTCAACTAGTTGCTTACATCGCTACTCCCTAGAAAAAAAATAAGGGTGGCATTGATGGAAATGTCTGTCCCAGGACTGGAATCCAGGCACGGGGGAAGCTCTCAGTCAGGCTATAAATCAGGGATCTAATTTCTTCTCCAACAGTCCTACGTGTCTGTTGTAACCTATCCTTTAAATCAGCTTCCATACCTAATGACTGGAAGATAGCTAATGTGACACCAATATTTAAAAGGGGCTCTAGAGGTGATCCTGGCAATTACAGACGGGTAAGTCTAACATCACTACTGGGCAAATTAGTTGAAATCATAGTAAAGAGTAAAATTGTCAGACACATAGATGAAAATAATTTGTTGGGGGAAAGTCAACATGGTTTCTATAAAGCAGAATCATGTTTTACTAATCGGGACCGGATGTTCTAGTGGATATAATATACTTAGATTTCCAGAAAGCCTATGACAAGGTCCTTTACCAATGACTAGTCAGTTGTCATAGGATAAGAGGGAAGGTCCTTTATGGATTGATAACTGGTCAAAAGACTGGAAACAAAGGGTAGGAATAAATTGTAAGTTTTCCGAATGGAGAGAGGTAAGTAGTGGGGTCCCCCAAGGGTCTGTCCAGGGACCAATCCTATTCAACTTATTTATAAATAATCTAGAGAAAGGGGTAAACAGTGAAGTGGCAAAATTTGCAGATGATACCAAACTGCTCAAGATAGTTAAGACCAAAGCAGACTGTGAAGAACTTCAAAAAGACCTCACCAAACTAAATGAGTGGGCAACAAAATGGCAAATGAAATTTAATGTTGAGAAATGTAAAGTAATGCATATTGGAAAAAATAATCCCAACTCTACATACAATATAATGGAGACTAATTTAGCTACAACTACTCAAGAGAGAGATCTTGAAGGCATTGTGGATAGTTCTCTGAAAATATCCATTCAGTGTGCAGCAGCAGTCAAAAAAGCAAGTAGAATATTAGGAGTCATTAAAAAAGGGATAGAAAATAAGACAGAACATATCTTATTGCCTCTATATAAAATCATGGTACGCCCACATCTTGAATACTGCATACAGATGTGGTCCCCTCATCTCAAAAAAGGTATATTGGAAAGGGTTCAGAAAAAGGCAAAATTATTAGGGGTTTGGAATGTATTCCTAAAAAGACTTGGACTTTTCAGCTTAGAAAAGAGGAGACTAAGGTGGGGATATGATAGAGGTCTATAAAATCATGACGGGTGGAAAACGGGAATAAGGAGAAGTTATTTGCATATCCCCACACTATAAGAGCTAGGGGTCACAAAACAAAATGAATAGGAAGTAGGTTTAAAACAAACAGAAGGAAGTTTTTCTTCAGCGCACACTCAAGCTGTGGAATTCCTTGTCAGATGATGTGAAAGCTAGAACTTTAATAGGGTTAAAAAAAGAGCTAGATAGATTCATGGAGGTTAGGTCCATCAATGGCTATTAGGCAGGGTGGGCAGGAATGGTGTCCGTGGCCTCTTTCTCCAGAGGTGGGTGATAGCGGAGGGATCATGTGAGGATTACCTGTTGTGTCCTCTCCCTCTGGGGCATCTAGTATTGGCAACTGTCAGCAGACAGGATACTGGGGTGGATGGACCATTGGTCTGACCCTGTATGGCTGGTCTTATGTTCTCCCTGCCATTTCTTCACCTCACAGACTTTTTTGTGCTTTGCCAACCCCACTCTTATGTCAGTCCCTGAGGAAGCAGGGGCCAGAGTCCATGCACCTGGGGCAGAGATGGAAGCTGATGATCTTCCTGCACCTGGTGCAGAACAGCACTTGGGACATGGTTGTAGTTCTAGATCCAGGGCTAGCTTCTGTTTGCTGGCAGGAGACTGTTCATTAGAGTTTGCAGGTGGGAAGATTAGATTGACACTGACATGGGCATGGAAGTTTGAGGAACACAGCAGAGGCAAGGAGAGCAGACACTCAGGAAGCAAGAGGAAAGGATCAAAGACTTTCTGAAGTGGGGAGGGGTCAAGATTATCTCCACTTCAGAGAGTTTGAGGAACACGGCAGAGGCAAGGAGAGCAGACACTCAGGAAGCAAGAGCAAAGGATTAAAG